GGGCGGGTGGCGGTGGGGAGCATACTCAGTGGTCCTGTTTTGGCATGTGCTTAGCCACTGCGCTGTGACCAGAGGTCATGGGATTACTCTACAGATCTCTATCCGGCGCCCAGCTCTTACTCATCTTTCAGGTAAGGGTCTAAACTTTTTCAAAGGATGAGATGACTTAGTAGGAATTAAAATGTATCTTCTGGGAAACAAGCACTGGGCCATGTGGGGAGCGAGCAGATTCAGACATTCAGGTATTTCCTCTTCTCTTTGGGAGAGAGGGCAACTTCTACCTCTGTCAAGAGTAGGCAAGGACAGTTGCCTACTCTTAGAGAGAACATACTTGGATAGAACACTATCCTCCTCCATGGTTCTCCTTCCACTGGACCTGGTCACATGAGTTCCGACCAGCAGGGAGCATGGGTCAAGACCCCCTCCTCCAGTCTGTATCTTCTCTGCACTCCCTGCTCCCTGGGGACAGCTCTGCTGGCCCTGCCTCTACTGGCATCCCATGTGGCCATAGATCCTGCCAGTGGCCCTGCTTTGGCTTAGAGATGTCTGCCTCTGTACCTCCTGAGGTCACAGCTGTGCCTTCCCCTCTGTGGCCTCTCAGCTCTGCCGCTGCTCTGAGTCACCAGCCCCCATGCCCCTATACCTTTCTCTGCAGAAGCAGCCATGAGGTCTGGTGTTCCCAAGGATAGGGTGGGAAGGTGGCAGGTACTAGAGTGGCCAAGAGTGAACCCACAGAGGATCACTTCTCAGCCCAGAAGCTGCAGACCCAGAGCACAGGTCCTGGTCCTCAACACCTCCATGGACCACACAGTCTCGGTGGCTTCATCTGATGAAGTTCATCCCTTATCTGTGGCCTGTGGCTCTAGACAAAGACTCACCCCCTGTTCCTTTATCAGTGTGGATTCTACTTGGGAAGTGTCACCAACTCTCATCCTGGCCTGCCTTGGATTAGATGAGATATAACAAGGACTTTCCAGCCTGCAGCCCTCTGAGCCAGGACCCAGAAGGCCTCAGGGCACTCAGAGGGCATATCTACAGGGCTCTGAGCATTTAGGTCACAGCTTTGCCTCTGAATGGGCACTTTCAAGTGACAGCAGGCTGCAGACTCTCACCACTGAAACAAGTGTGTGGGAAAGAAGGGACCAGGAAACTCGCATTCTTATCTGCAATTCTCTTCCCTCCCCTCTTTTCAGAGATAGGGTCTCACTATGTAGCCATGGCTGGCCCAGAACCACCTAAACCAGGCTGGCCTCAAGCTCACAGAGATCTGCTTACCTCTGCCTCCTGAGAACCAGGATTAAAGGTTTGTGTCACCATGCCCAGCTTTTTACCCATTTGTACTTAGCAAAGGGTCAAGTAGGTATGTAATGCAGGGCAACTTTTGACGGAAAAGTTGACCCAGATGAACTTTTTAGAGGAAGTGAAAGACATGCAGGCAATTGGAAATCATAAAGTTCCTGAATCACAGAAAGCTATAGAGAAGAGGAGCTGTCTGATAGGGGTTTGAATGATGCCTATGAGCTTTCTTCCAAAACCAATGCAATGTGAGAGTCCAATGGAGAAGGCTTGGGTTTTCTACTATGGCATTTATGGGAGTCATGGCCTTCTTGTCTCCCTGCACACATATGCAAGGTAACCAGGTCTAGCTCTGAGGCTCCAGCAGGCTTATTTAGGATGAAAGAAACCTCAGATGTGCAGGGTTCCAGAGTCAGACAGACTGGATTTGAACCCCAGCTCTGCTGCCTATGTGGCCCAAGGCAGGTGAATTAGCCTCTGAACTTTCTTTTCCACATCCTGCGCAGTGTGCTTGCCTGAATCACGTCTGCTGGCTGGGGTCCAGTGAGTCACACCCTAAACCCTTTGGTCCAATTACTGTCTCTGTGCTGGCGTTAATAGCCATTCATCAGCTTCCCAGGGACGTCTGAGCTGAGATTCTAGAAAAGCAAGCTCATGGAACATGTACGCTTTGTCTAGTTGCGTGCAGGGTGTCCCCCTGGTAGGTGATGTCACAGTCCCAGAGAACCTAGTCTCCACAGGGACTTGGTGACAACTGCTACTCCCTGAGGTCCTTTATCCTACAGATGTTCAGCATGTGCCGGACTTATGTTAGATGTCACCGCTAGAGTTTCCTTTCTGTTGCTGCAATAAACACTCTGACCCAAAGCAACTTAGGGAGGGAAGGGTTTTTATTTCAGCTTCCAGGTCACAGCTTGTCGTGGAGGAAAAGCAGAATGGGAACTTGAACAAAAGCTGTGGAAGAATGCAGATCACCCTTAGGTCCGTGCTTAGCCAGCTTCTTATACAGCCTAGGATCTCCTTCCCAGCGAGCAGTGCTGCCCACAGTGGACTGGACCCCCTCATATCAATTAACAATCAAGACAACCACCTGTAGACAGGCCCACAGCCCAATCTTGTCTGAGCAAGCTCTCAGTTGACACTCCCTCTCAGATGACTCTAGGCTGTGCAAAACTGACAGGCGATGCTAACCAGGACTGTTAGTCATTCATTTTGTTTTAAAGATGTGGAAAATGAGGCCTGCCCAAGTGTACTCTGCCCAGCAGCTACCCCACGGCCACTGCCTGGCTCCTGGAGGATGTCTGCCCTCAGTTCTTTCCACAGAGCAAGGAGATTCCATATCCACATCGAGAAGGAAGGGCTGGGCTTATGACCAGCTCTTAAGTGAGGAAACCGTGGAACCATAGAGTCCATACATCCACTACTGAAGGGAGGAGGTTGCCTTCAGCCATCTTGACCTAGAGTGCAAACTCTGTATGTCTTCAGCTCAGTTTAGATCTCAGTCAGGGAGATCTAAGAGATCCTGAGAAATGGAGCCCAAGAGGAGGGTCAAGGCAGGGGTGGAGTAGAAAGTGACACAGGCAGGAGCCCTGCGGGGAAGGACATGAAGGGCCGTGTGTGTGGGGGGGCAGTGGAGGCTGGTCAGGTAGGATGTGAGATGGGCCAAACAGGCCTCCAGTCCTCCTGCCTAGTGCCTGGAAAGGGGGATTGGAGCCCCAGCTAGGTTCCCACAGGCTCTGCAGTGGGGGGTGACACTTCACCAGTCCCTTTGGCCTCCTGTGTGTGAGCCGAACATAGTCGTGCGGGTAGAGAACCCAGGGAGCCATTAGCGCACTTCCTCTGTGCCATCTGGGCATGGGGCAGCACTTAAGGTCCCCAGCATTCTTAGCTCCTATTTGTGCCGTGATTTCCTGGACTCTGTCCAGTCCCCTCAGGATGGGCCCCCGGCTCTGATAAGGCACCCCCACCCATGCAGACCTTGTGCTAATCTCTTGTCTTTCTAGAGGAAGTGGGGCCAGCAGGCACTCTGGTCGGAGGTCCCAGGGGTCATACTGTCTGCTTGGTTCTCAGACTCAGCCCAGACAGGGGAGGAAAGGTCAGACATGCTTGGAGAAGAGTCCTCAGCCATGGGGACTGGCTGTCCTGTGAGCACAGAGGCTTCTCGAGACTGTCCCAGTCCAGCTAGGGGACCCTGGGATGCACACTCTACTCCTTCGCAGGACTCACTGTCTGATGACAGGAGTGATGGATGGCAAGTTTGATGTCAAAGCAGAGCCCAGGCCCAGAGCAAGAACTGCAGGCCTTGGGGACATGGCCCTGTCATCGGTCAGCATGGCTTGGACTAGGTGCTGGTGACAGCCCCTGGCCTCAGAAGCATTCTAAAGGAGCAGCAAGGGAAGGGCAAGTCTCAGAGACATCCCAACAGTCTCTGGTGGCCGCTGAGGAACAGAGGACGCTATCTGTGAGTATGTGTGTGTGCATGGGTGTATGCACAAGTGTGTTTGTGTGCATGCACGTGTGTGAGTGTGTGCATGCACGTGTGTGAGTGTGTGCATGTGTGTGAGTGTGTGTATAGGTGTGCTTGTGTAAGCATGTGTGTATAGGTGTGCATGTGTAAGCATGTGTGTATAGGTGTGCATGTGTGAGCATGTGTATAGGTGTGCATGTGTGAGCGTGTGTGAGCATGTGTATAGGTGTACATGTGTGTGTGCACTGTGCATGCACTTCTGAGTGTGGGTGGTTGTGGCAGAAGTCAACATTGGATGTTCTTCAGGAGCTATACAAACTGGCCAGTGACCCCAGAGTCTTCTGTCTCCGATTTTTCAGTGCTGATACCTGGCTTTTTTTTTTTGTAGGCTCTGAGGATGGAACCTGGGTATTCTTCATGTTTGTACAACACCTTACCTCCTGAGCTACCTCCCAGTTCTCCCAAGGGCACCACCCTGATGGTGTTGGTGGGGCAACCTGTGAATTTTAATAGCACCTCCATGAGTGAGGTTCTGCTCTCATGCTCATCGGATGGAATTTAGAGTACTTGCTGACAGTCATTTTGGAAACCCAGAAGACTTAGTGGAATTCACACAAGGCTACTCAACCTCAGCCTTATTTTTACTCTTAGCAAGACACAGGGAAGAGAAGATGACTGCCCTCCAAATGTTCACCAACGGTGGCAGGGGGTCTCTGTGGGCTGCCCACTCTGTCCCTGTGGTAGTTTGAATGTAATTGGCCCCCATAAGCTCAGAGGGAGTTGCACTATTAGGATTTGTGGCTTTGTTGGAGTTGGTATGGTCTTGTTGGGGAAAGTGCGTCACTGTGGGGGTTGGGCTTTGAGGTCCCTTTTGCGTAAGTGTCACTCAGTGCCACAGTCCACTTCCTGTTGCTGCCTACATCTGATCAGGATGTAGCCAGCACCATGTCTGCCCGCATGCTTCCTGACATGATGATAATGGATTGGACCTCTGAAACTACAAGCTGCCACCCTAAGTGTTTTCCTTTATGGTCATGGTGTCTTTTCACGGCAATAGAAACCCTAACGAAAACAGCCCCTATAGCAGCCCTTGAAATCAGTATTGCTGACTGCTTCCCCAGCAGAGCGGCTGAGTGACCGGCCCAGAGCCACACAGCTAGGAAGAGGAGGAGCTGGGGTTTGAATCAGGCCACAGGCCAGCTGATCTGCAAGGCCCGGTGGATGCCCTCTTGTGACCTGGGTCCGGGGAGACTGAATGGGGTGCAGTGGGAAGCAGGGGCGCAGGGAAGCCAAAGCCAACTACAGGCTTCCCCATTCTGGGGCCTCCACTCTCCCTCTGGCCCATCCTGTGTCTTTTCTTTGCCAGAGGGCTCTGCTTTCTTATTATAGTTTTGACTTTCCAGATTGTTGAGAGTTTGAAAATGAAAATTGAATTTAACCATCTGACCTGCACTAGGCAAACACCATTCAGCAGGCACTAGCCAGTTTCTGGCTATGCAATAAGTAGCCTGGGCAGCATGGCACCACAGCTGCAGCGCCCCCTACAGACTCTTCCTTTAGGGGCACATGCTAGTTGAGAACAGGGAGAAAGGTTTCTGATTGGTCTAGAGCTGTTGCTTTGTTTATTAGTATCATTGGTTACTGCTTGCTCTCAGTTAGATCCTGATCAATCAGAGTCCAGGTTGAGGGGACACAAGTGTGGAGTCCAGCTCACCAACTTCCTATGAACCTAAACTTCTGCTTCCTCTTCTGGAATCTGGCTTTTATTAGCTATTTTATGTCATCATTTTTATAAGTTAATTGTTGCCCCAAAACCAGGATTCTGTAATGGCTCCTCCAGGAATTCCAGTCTATGGAAGAAAGGAAGGTAAGGCTTGGTGAACTAGAGACTGTGACACTCTTAGCTTAGCCAGACAGAAATGACATTCCCCTCAAGTGTTGGCTAGTACAGTAAGTTTACTCGTAGCTGAACACAGACCTCTCTGTCCATCAAACAGCATGCCCACTTTGGGGAGCTGCCTATCATAGTTCTTAACACATTCTTTTCTTCCTAGTGCCTCCTGCTCACCCCTGGGCCCCTGAACCCCTCTTACTCTTTTTAAAGATGACCTCAGGATACTCTGATTTTTAAACCACTGGACAGCATTGCCTGGCACTTGCTAATCTCTTTCAGTTTGTGACTATGAAGGGGAGAAAGTGTCCCCAAACTGGTTGACAGAATTGCCTGGGCCAGGGGCCGGGGAGTTCCTTGAGTTTGTGTGTGCCTCTGCTGTGACTATGTTTTGTCCAAAGGAAATGGTTGGCAGGTATTAATATAAGGGAGAAGAAAGGAAAGTTTTAAGTGGGGGTGAAGGGGGAGAAGGGAGAAACCGACAGCATGTTTTAATTGTGAGTTGGAAACTTTATAAACACAATTTACACACACGGCACGTGTAATCATGGCGGTAATTATGATAAATCCGTTGTCAGCCCAGTTTGGAAGTCCTTGCGAGGTAGTCGGAAATTAGTTCTCGTGCTAGACAATAGCTCAATAAAAACGCAACCCGACCCCAGCCCGGCCCAGATGGAATTCCACACGGCCCAACTCAGATGTTCTCCGTGTCGCACTTCCCCACTGCCAAAAGGCTTGTCAGGTCAGCACAAACACGTCTTGAATCCATTAAGTTGCTTTTTTTGTTTTCTGCCTGCTAATTAGCTAAAAGTCGAACACTTCAAGTACAGCATGCCAAGAGCGCTGCTTCAGGGTGAGGCGCCATGGTTCAGAAGCTAAGCTAGTGCCTTTTGTGGACTGTGCTGGTTTGGAGGGCTCTTGGACTGGCTGGGCAAGCTTGGAGATGGCTGAGCAGGCATGGGAAGGTATGGCCAGGGACGAGCATCCCCAGTCCAGGGCTGGTCTTTCATACAGCCTCTGGGACTCAGGCTAGAAAGGAGCCCCTCAAACAGTCGTCCCCAAATGAGGTATCTGTTGATACTTGTTCCCCTCATGGGAGCAAGCTCAGTTACACATATCATGAGGCAATGGTCACAGGCTGAAATGTCATGGGTAGGGACAGGCAGCTTCCTCTCATCCACTGAGCACGCCCGGCAGAAAGAGCATCCTGGCTCCTTCCTCTAAACTCAGTTAGTAGCTCTAGACCAGAAGCATGAGGCACAGGAAATGGAGAGAGTTTAAGATGCCTGGCCTTAAGGACTACCACATCGACTCTTGCCCGTGGTGAGAGGAAAAGCTGACAGTGTGTGGGGATGGAAGGCCCACAACCTGAGGAGACCCAGGAGAACTGCCACCCTTCCTCTGGGTGAGTGTTCCCCTTTTCCGTCTTCTCAGCCTCTGTCAGGGAACCACACCCCTATTCTATTGCTGAAGAACCCAAGGCAGGGGAGACCTTGCCTAATTATAGACAATGAGTGCTAACTAGGGTTAGTCAGCCCCCAGGATGCTTACATCCTTCCTTCTTCTCTTATGGGTGTCATATGTCTGACTTCATAATGGAGTCAGACAGGCAGACTTAGAAGAGAATATTTTTTGCCATGAGCCCCCCAAACAGTCATTTTGTTTGTTTCTGCAGGTGGCAGAGGAGGCAAGCTGCCTCTAGTCTTTTTTTTTTTTTTTTTTTTTTTGGTGGCTCTGACCAACAGAGGCACCAGTCTCAGCAGAAAAACTACATTTCCCAGCATTCTATCTGAGCTAGAAGGTGTGATTATGGGATGGAAGTCTGGGGCAGATAGAATGCCTGGGAGTACTGTGTGGCTGGTCTCGGGTGTGCTTTGAAGGGGAAAGAACTCATTTCCTCTTCCTTCCTGTCTCACTCCAGAGGCTGTCAGCCAGTTGAGGGTCACCCCATCCCCCACCTGGGAAGCAGAAAAGATGGGACAGCTGGGTGCCTGGATGATCCCACAGAACAGAGCTGACCCTGGCTACCTCTGGGCAGTCACTGGAGGGAGAATAAAGTCCTATTTTCTTGAGGCATTGTATTTCCTATCTCTTGGTTGCAGTATGTGCCGTACCATTTATCCTCAGGGTCCCCAGGTGAGTACACACGTGCATGTATGTAGTCACAGATTTGGACACACAAGTATGTTCACGCATATGTATTCCCACACGTATCTTATGCACACACACTATCAGTGAGCAGACGCAGAGCAGACAGACACAGGGGGTTCAGAAACAAAGTTTCTGAAACCGTGAGCCAAAGCCACCCTTCTTCCTACAATGTGTTCTTTCAGGCCTTTGGGGCAGAGGTGCCCAAAAGAACAGACACTGCGCATCTGGAGTGGTCATCCAGGGTGCCTGGGCTCTCCACCAGCTTGCGTGTAGGAGCATGCAGGTGGTTTTAAGATGCAGGAAGGTGAAGGGTTAATCCCCTCAGCTGTGCTTGTGCCTGGAAGTTCTGGAAAGCCACCTCTACTACACATTCTGCTTAATGGGCCTAGAACAAGTCCCCATTTGAGAGGAGGGTGTGCTAGCCCCATGTGTCGTGTTCCCTGGGGCCAGCGGCCCCTCAGTACACCCTCTGATCCTTCTGTCAAAGGGATGACTTCCTGCTAACCCAGTGACCCAGTGGATGGGTCTCTAGGGTCGGCTGGGGGTCCAGCGATGTGCCTTTGAGTCTGGCCTCTAACCAAGCTGTACCTTTCATTCTCTCAGCTCCTGGGATGGGTTCCAGGAGTGTGTCCTTGTGGATGGAAGGCCTCTTACTGGTACTCTGAGTACCCTGAAGGCCCCCCAGACCCTTTCCCCACAGACCACAAGAGGCTCTCATGTCTGTCATCCACTCTTCCAGCTATGTGGTCCAATATGGCAGCCACCTGTGGATATTTAAACTCAAGTGAGTAGAAATCATACATAATGATATTTAAATTGCAGTCCTCTTTCTGGATATTGGTTCCTGGACCTCACTCTCATGTCAAAATCTATGGATCTTCAGGCTCTTTAAATGAATATAGCACAGCGTTGGTATATATTCCATGTGAGTTTTCCTGTATATATCTCTCATTGGTAGGTTACTTATAACAATCAGAAAATTGCTCTATTTTCCTCTTTTAAAACATTTTTTTAGTATTTTAAAGTGTGCGTATATTCTGGAGCTGGAGTTAAAGGCAGTTGTGACATGGGTGCTGGGAACTGAACTTGGGTTCTCTGCAAGAGTAACAAGTGGGGTTAACCACTGAACCATCTCTCCAGTCCTGTACTGTCTTCTTTAGGGAAAAACGACAAGAAGAAAAACGTCTGTACATGTTCCACACATATGTGATTGTTTGGAAACAGTCCTGCCCTGAAATCCAGGCTTCCCTGGAACTCACGGTGGTCCTCTTGTCTCACGATACCCAACTTAAGACACATTTTGTTTTTGCCATGTTAACCTGTCAGTTGATTCCACAGTATGTGACCTGCACCATTGAGGGTCACCAGCCTGTCAGTCCCCAGGCTCCTCAGCCCCTCTCATTTCCCAGAGCCATGGGTGGCTGTCTGCTACCACACCCAGCATCTCAGGCAGAAAGCTGAGAGTCCTTCCGATGCCCAGTCAAAGGGGGTCCATTCTCACCATGGCTCACGTGTGAGCAGAGAAGCTGAGAGCTCAGATCTGTCTTCCTCCGGGTGATTTTTGCCACCTGCTCTCCGTGCTTTTCATTTTATTATTTAGTGTTTTCTTCTGTGCATGTGATTGTGTGTGTGTGTGTGTGTGTGTGTGTGTGTGTGTGTGTATGTACATGTGTGGGTGCTGAATTTGAGTACATGCAGAAGTCTCAGGCTTACTTGTGTAGGGTGTCTCTATTTCTCTTCACTTTTATCTTTTGAGACTGGGTCTCTCACTGAAAACTGTAGTTCACAGATTTGGTTAGACTAGCTGGGTTAGTTCACGGATTTGGCTAGACTAGCTGGGTTAGTTAATGGATTTGGTTAGACTAGCTGGGTTAGTTAATGGATTTGGTTAGACTAGCTGGGTTAGTTCACAGATTTGGTTAGACTAGCTGGGTTAGTTAATGGATTTGGTTAGACTAGCTGGGTTAGTTCACGGATTTGGTTAGACTAGCTGGGTTAGTTCACGGATTTGGTTAGACTAGCTGGGTTAGTTCATGGATTTGGTTAGACTAGCTGGGTTAGTTCACAGATTTGGCTAGACTAGCTGTCCAGTGAACTCCAGGGTTGTCACCCCCTCTGCCTGGTGCAAGAGTGTGCTGCCATCTTTGAGGTCTGTCATAAGGTTGGGGGAATTGGTGGTTCCTTTTGATTGTTTTAAAGTCAAACAACACATGGAAACTCTCCATCTCAATTTCTGATGTCATTATAATGTGTGGAAAGAAATCAGACTACACAAAAATGCTTTTAAACAATGTTATCATTTGCTCAAACAGAAAAATATCAAATCTGTGATGCCCAAGAGACAGTGAACACTTCTTCTGGCCTTGAAGAGCCCATGTACACCCTGGGGACAGAAAGCAGTAAAACCAGAGGTTCTGAAATGAGCTACAGAGTCCTGGAGACCCAGAGGGCCAAGAGTAGAAACAGGACACTGATCTCTCCCAGCCTCAGCCTCAGTTTCCCCACTGGAAAACAAGGCTTATCTGCCAACCCCGTCTCACCTGGGCATGACTGTCCATTCTGAGCAGAGCATCTTGGAGACCAGGCTCTCACCTGAGGAGGCCTGAGAGGCCAAGATGAGCCTACTTGTAGTGGGTGACCAGCAGGACAGGGCTGTCAGCAGTGGCTTCTTGCTCATGCTGTGTGAGCTAGACTCAGTCACCTGGTCTCCTAAGATGTCCTGACAGCACTATGTACCAGGAAGGCTCTTTTGTCACTGCTGTCTGAAGGTGGAGAGACCAAGGCACAGAGACAGAGTTGCTTCTCTAGTACTGTAGAGCTGAACTTTGAACCTAGATAGAAATGGGCTTCCTACCAGCTCAGATAACAGGGAGGGACTGTTGGGTCTTCTAGGTTGTGGGTGGAGCCAGCCCCTTCTTTGAGGACAGTAGAGGCTTATTCATATGCATTTATTTGTAGATATCAATTATTCATAATGATGGACTTCATTATGACATTTTCATACATGTATAGAATATATTTGGATCATAGTGAGCACATTTCCCTCTCTTGTCTTCTCCTACTCATCTTGATCCTAGTCTCCTTTATACCCCCCCCCCCGTGTGTGCACCTGTGTGTGTGTGTGTGTGTGTGTGTGTGTGCATGTGTGTGTGTTCCACAAGTTTCCTAGAGTTCCTTAGGTGGTGGGTGAGGGGTTATTTATGGCACATGTGCACCTGGTCAGTGAGTAGAAAATGGACAGCTGTTGTGATGAGGAGCCTAGCTCTCTAGAAGCGTCCGTCTTTCTCCTCTACCTCTCTTTTGCAAGAATACATTTGGGGGCACACAAGCTCTAGCCGCAGCAGCCTGGAGTGCATAGTTTCTCACCCGCTTGCTTGAGATGTGTCATTTCTTCACCCTGGCTTCTAGCAAGCATTGAGGCTGCTGAGACCCACATGCACTCTCCAAGAAGTAAGTACGCCAGGTGGCACTGAGGCAGGGGCAACCTGGGGAGCTGAGAGAGAAGGGCAGCTCTCTCTGAGGTCACAGCAGGCTCCAAGGGAACTTTCGTACTTCAACCAGAAAGCACATTCATCGCTACACAGTTGACTTGATGTATCTGTCTACTGAAACCCATTCAAAATATACATATACAGGCACACACACACACACACACACACACACACACACAACAGTGGGTTTATTTAGAGTTGAAACAAAACTTGGTAAATATTTTTGTACTCTCTTTTTACCCGGCCACAAATAAAATCTAACGAGCGGCCGTTGAGATAGCCCTCCTATTTTTCCCCTCTGTAGACAAGTGAGATAAAAGACAAAGAGTTTCTTATTTGGGGTTCATAAAACATTCTGCGTTTATGGGTTCATTTTTCTGAGATGCAGATCAAAGCCTGGCTGTGAAACTTTACTGTCCCACTGCTGGCGGCCCTGTTGACTCAGTGCATATTTCAGAACTCCTTCCCCCAAGCCCCTCTGACCACCTCGCTGGAAAAAAAAGGAGGGGGGATATTTGAATCTGAAATATTCAGGGGGAAGATTGACAGCTTAGGGTGTGGGGGGAGCTAAAACAACATTTTTCTGGGCCCCAATTAAAAGAATTAACTTTACTCATGGTGAGTCCCCCCTTCCCTCAGAAGTCTCTATCTCTTTCCTATGCTCGATGCTTTCTTGCGGCTTGTTGGCAGCTTGGGTCCTCAGTGGTACCCTGCTCTCTGTTCCCTACTCACCCACACTCCCTCGATGGCTTCATGATCTTTGTTTATATTAATCCCTGAAGAACTAAGCTTCATTTCATTTTATTTGGGAGAGAAACCCAGTAGAGAGGGGTTCAGGAGACCCGCATGCTTCCGTAATTGCCTGGAGTTATGCATGTATTTCAGGCTGACAGTTAAGATAAAAAGCCCCTTGTGGGCTCATGTTGGGAGTCATTTTTCAATGCTGTGTGTGGGAAATTGAGCGTGGATGGTAACGGGGAGGTTGGGGAGAACAGGAGGTGCGGGCTGCAGGGAGAGGCCCCCATGGTCATGTTAAGTCATCCTGGGTTTCTAGCCTTGACTCCTCAGTGGGCTCTGCTAGCTGGAAATACTGGCAGGGAAGCGGAATGGAGGGGGCCTGACCACTGTTTATCTCTAATTTTGTGTTTTTAAAATTGCTCTAATTTTCTTTTTCCACCCACTTGGATAATTCCTGTGTTCAGTGGTGATGGGAACCAACCCAGGCCAGAACACTACAAGCTGTTCCCACAACAACTGTGGCCACAGCCACAGCCACACCAGGGATGCGTCATTAGGAAAGCCAGTGGCTCCGGGGACATTGGCCACAATGAGTTCTTCCCTGACCTGTGGATGGGTGAATCTGCTACCCCCAAACAGCTCAGTGTCTTGCCTTTATTTTCCCCATCTGTGTAATAGGCCCAGCCCCTTCT